TCTATCTAAATACAATATAGCATGTCCTGACTGCGGGGTTTTGGAAACAAATTAAAACGTACAGCTCTGTTATCATTTCCAACATAAATGAAGACAGAAAACTAAACAGCAGTGACGTTTGTAGGGTTACTGAAGTTTGGCTAGCTGGTATATAATGATGTGCTACGTGACCGCTAGTGACACAGCTATGTTAGCATAATATAAACAAGCTAACTTTTTTTCCACTCAATAAAAGTTAACGTGAGTGTAATCGCATGGCAGGATGCTGTAAAAGGACCAAACTTCAGCCAGGAGAACAACTGAGATAATCCATCCACAATACGAGGTTAGTCATTCATATACTGCTGCATGGGCTGGGCTGTAGTTACATCCTAAGGTTTTAAAAACTGAGCTTAAATAAATGATTAGTGGTAATAAAAGCCAAGGGAGGTCAACAGTGATCACTGACTGTTTTAGGAGCTTTTTGAGATTAAATAGAAGAAAATACATAACATTAAACATGTTAACAACACAAAAGCCATATTAAACGCAGACTACTTTAGGCCCGGAAGTAGGATTCGTCACGTCATCACTTAACGACCGGATTAGGAGTATGTGTTGTTCATGCAGAAAATAGCAGGCATGAGGTATGCTTTGCTGGATGCTATCATAATGTCCTCTGGTGAAATCAGGTGGACACTAACCACTTTCATCTGCACAGCATGTTATTTAGACACATACAGAGCTAATAAAATCATATATTCAGTATCTAAATTCTAATAATAACCAAAAGAAGCACATTTTCTCATTGTCACAGTCGGTGTTAAGTGCAGGTGGTAGAGAGGCGTAGGGTGAGTTGGAGAAGGTAGCGAATGTGTTGGTGGTGTCTCCGTTTGTGTGCCTGGTGGCACTGACAACACAGTCATAGCCACATGATTTTGAATGGAAAAAAGAAAAGAAATTTTAAAAGATTGAGATGAAGTACTCAAAGAGTTGGGGGATTTAGTTAAAAGGAAGAAATGATTCTTCGATTCTGTGCAGAATTTGATTGCAACATTTGATGCAATCTGATAGTTATTTTATGACTTATCATGCTTATATTGAAAACAAATCAGATTTCTTTTAGTTTTATTTTCTGGAAAAGTGAAACAGACGTCAAATCTGTTGCAACCTGACACGACCCTCTGAGTTTTAGGCGTCCTGTAGTCCTCCACAGTCATGTGACATGAACATCACCTATGTGCTCTGAGGCTTTGTGAATACGACGATGAGCTATCTTTGTGTGCTCAGTAGTTAGTTATTAATTGAATAATGAGTGAAAGTTTGAAAAGAAGAGCTTGAAAACGTTTGAGATTTAACATGTAATTTATCTGTAAAAAGGGAACTGCTTGTGGATTAATTGCAGTTCATGTTCTCAATATACCAGAGCCGAACTGAATTGACATGACATGACATGGTAGATATATATTCTAAATCATTATTTGAAACCACACAGCCTTTCTTTCCAAATTGTGTGAACTATTGGAAGACACAAATGCCACAGCAACAAGACTGTGTGCGCAGCTGAATGTTTTTTATTTACAATGTATTTATTTGAGTTGCTGTGTGCTTTACACTTTTTTTTCACCCTTCCAATGAACAAAGTGGTGTTTTTTTTCCACACACACAAAAAATAAATTAAATGCAAAGAGATTGATATGGAAAATTATATTATAAAAGGTTCCACAATATACAGTATATAAGTAATGTCTTTATATATACACAGCACAGTGTTATTAGTGTTGTTTTGTGTATGTATTTGTGGATTTCATGAACATAAGGTGGAGCATCTTGGTGCAGATTTGGATGACTTGCTGTAAGATTGTGAAATATGGCATAAACCTTGGTGGGCTTAAGGGGTTTAAAAATGACCTTGTAGCTGTCATTTATTTTATTTTTTGTGTAGTTTCTCTTTGTCATCATTTCCACGTGTCATTACATGTGCTCCTTTACTGTTTCCTTTCAGAGGTTTCAGTCTATTGGTGACATTTGGTGACGATGACTGAGATAAGACACCAGTGATCCCTTACAGATACACCCTATGATGAATATTTTATTGACGCTATAAGAGCTATAAATAAAATGACAGCTCTGGTACAACTGAAAATCTTTACAGCGCTGAAAGGTACATTACACTACCTCTTCTGAGATTTAAAAAAAAACATGCAGCTAGTTAAGAGAGTGTCCACTTCAACCTCCGACTGGGAGCAGATATTATCTTTCTTCATGTGAGCTCAATAATTACTACTTATAAGGAAGCACTAAAGAATATCCACTGGTTTACAAACCTGACAGAAAGAAAATTTACATTTTAGTTATTATGTATACAGAGTTTTAGTAACAAAGCTTGATACTGATACAGTTTGATACTTGGTATCTTTGACAGAACACAGGAAGGTAAGGTTTAGTTATATTACCTACTTGGTCCTAATGCAAGTGTAATTTCAAAAAACAGCAACAGACATAAAACACTTTAATTAAAAACTAAATAAAGACAAATGCAAAATCAGAAAGCCATAATTCTTGAAGAATACGTGAAAATGAGAATAATTTCCCTGAATATTTGTAGATTCTGATATAAATGAATGTTGAAAAAAAACATCACTTTAAAGCTCTTTCCTTTACTTCTTCTCTCTGCCTCTGTCATCGCATGAGGCCATGTCCCAACTGTATACCCAAACACAAACACACTCACACACGTCCCTGTGTGTCAAAAGATGTGATGGATTACAACAATCAAACAATATTTCATGAGTCCCAGCTGGCTGCGAGAAGCCAGAGCCATTTAAATTTGTAGGAGAGAACTGCGCTCGTTGTCTATTTTTGTCCCCTCTGTCTTCCACTCTCCTCTGCAATGAGTCACGCTCTGTTCTCAAACCTACTGTGACACACTCTTATCTGAAGGAGCACAAACACGCGGGAAGGTCTGTCGATTAATATCTTGGAAGGCATTAGTTTATGCTGTTCTTTAGAATAATAACACATAATCCTCAAGAAGTCTGCCCTTCTCTCTTCTGTCATCCCAGGCAGTCAGCTCTTCACATTCTCCGAATCCAGGAACAACTTTCATACAGCTGAACCTTGCACGATGTCTGTATCTTTCATCTCCTTTTATGGGTTCAGTGAAGTCCGCAATCGCCAGATAGATCCCCTTTAGATTAATGGTAAATTAGGGTAATTCTAGCTTAAGCTCACCCCTGCCCAGTTGTTTTCTTTTTTCGTTTTTCTTTTTTAGATGTCTGTCATAACAGGTAGTAATAGTAATAGTAACCATATGAGAATACTTATGTATAAGTATCAAAAATAGCAAATCTTGCAGTGGTTTATTTTATTGTTATTCTTTAATGGAAATGTTAACAATGAAGTTTTGTGTTTCCTCTGGAATGCATGGGTCATCATTGTTTTTCTACATATGCAAACATGGAAAGCATAAAGGACATAATCAGCTCGTATAATAGAACAAATTAAAAATGACCTCTGTATTTTCCTCAGTCGCTATTTGGCAACAGTGTTACTGCTGTGCTTACTGCTGTGTACTGCTTATTGCTAACTGACAGTTGACCATTAAGAGCTGAACACCTGAACAAGAACCTTTGTCCTCATGCAAACAGTTGCATGGCAGATTTCAGCCTTTCCAAAACAGGCCCATTGAATCCAGCCAGATATCATTTAATAGAGCCAAGAATACAAGGCAATTAACTGTAAATGAAAGGTAATTGATTTGCGGTGCCAAATGTACTGTAAAACAAGCCTGCTTTGTGTTTACAGCCTAATGAGGACAACATTGCATCGTTACTGGATATGTATGCGCGTTAGCTCGATAGGGGGAATCTGTTTAATTTAGTGTGTTTAGTGCCCAGTTGGTGGAAGGTTTAAAAGAGAGACTGCTCAGGTCACAAACTAATTTTGAAGCCAGATAGGGAACAGATGTATGGTCTAAACTTTTTGCTATGCTATGAGAAGAAGAAGTAATAATTTTCTATTGATTAGATAAAATAAGAAAATAACTGATTTCTGATTTTTCTAATACCCGCAGCTGATATCCGCAATGCATAGACGTGACCAGCAGCATCTGAGCATGTGACGCAGCTCATTCCTGATCTTTAAACTTGTGAAAACAGCATGCAAAGGCTAGCAGCTTTAACTATTTAGAGAAGTATTTCATGACTCTTCTTTCATCCGTCCATGAGCTGTATCAGTTTAATATGTGGTTTAAGTTTATCCCTAAATGACTTCTATTATTGTGGTATATGCTGAAGAAGGCACCGGTTATAACAGGGCAATTTCCCATCTGATTCTGGCTATAAGGTGCAATCAGACAAACCTCTGACTCTGCTCATTAAAATTAAAAACCTTGCCTTATTTTGACTTTCAAGGTCTTTGTGAATTTCTGATTTCCAGTGCTGCTGTTATTTTTAGATTGCTCCATGGAAGCCCTGTTCTGACCACTCACACGTGCAGTTTTATGAAAATCTATGATTGCACCACTTATTTTGCTCCAGCTAATACTGCAAAGGCTGCTGTTCCCAGCAAGGGCATCTGACATGCATGAGACTCCAGACAATGCACCGCAGTGTTTTATTGTGTTATATTTGATACCGTGTCGATCCTGACAGCTGACCCATGGGGTTTATGCTTTGACATGTGATGTAAACTTGTGTTGCCATGCATTAATTTTGTCTGTATTTTATACATAAGATCACCTTCAAATGTGATGTGGCTTATATAGTGATTTGGTCCTTGTTACAGGCAGTCCAGTCCTGAAACAGCCCTTAAGGTGTAAATTGTTCATTTCACAGGTCTTGTTGAGACATTTACTCCGAGATTTTGGTTCTCAAACTTTCAAACCACAACCTAGTGACTCCATATCGTCTCTCTTTTTAGGCTAATATTTTTTTGTGGGCATAGCTTAAACGCGATATTCTTTTTCATCCATTGTTCCTGTTGTTTTTCTTTCTTTCTTTTTGTACATATCCGTCTAGACAAGAGTGCACTATCGCTGCCCTTGCTTTCCTCAGCCTCCGCTCTCAGAGACCATGCAGCTTTCTTCCAGTCAGAAACTATGCGGCCGGCAAATGACCCAAAAGAGCGTGACCCCTCCCACGTGCGGATGCTGAATGATGTACTCCGTGACCTGGAGAAGAGCTTCATCATCCCACAGACACCGCCTGGAGTGTACAGGTAGGAGAAGAGTTATTGCTTCAGAGTTGCAACATTGGTGTAAGGAGGTATAAGCATTCCATTTACCGTTAGCCAATGCACCCCCAGGATACCGATGCTTTCAGTTTCAAGACCTGCAAGATTATGTTACATAATTAAATCTCCACAATCTTGAATATATTTTAATTAATTGTTTGACATTAGAAGTTTCATCCTATATCAATGTGGCTGTTTTCTCTGTGTTTTTATGGGTCACCAGTTCATTTCTTTGCCTTTTTACATTGTTAAAGTTTATTATTTATTCCACATGGCATTAAAAGGTCTTAAATCTAAGCTAAGCAAACTTGGAGATGACTGGAACAACATTCTTCTCAGAAACCTTTTCCACCTTTGGCTCACTCACAGTTGCCTCCTCCACATCACCGATGGCACAGTTGGTCCTCCTACCTCCTTGTTAGCGTGGTTTAGTTTGCATGTTCTCACATACCTACTCAGCTCCCCAGATACAGCCAAGCCATTGCATTTGCTGTGCGCTCCAGCATCACATACCACTTATCAATGATACTAGATGGCATTTTCTCATTAAAAAAGAAAGTTGTGTGTGATAAAGTTTCCCTATTGATGAAGTCTTTGCAAACTGGAATTTTTGAATAGTTAGAAATATGCGTATTTGTTGACCGGCAGTGTTCTTTCCTGCCTTTGTTCACAAAAAATGCCGTTGAGGTCTTTGCGTAGCATTTTTGCCAGCTGTTATCAGTCGACTCCACTAGTAGGAATATGTGGTTTGCACATTTGTTGGTTTACAAGATGATAAAAAAAAAACTGGTTAAACACTGCTGTAAGGCATTATTAGTGGTCAAAAATTCCACAGGGATGAAAAACTACTTGAGCAAAGCTCATGTGAGCAATACTCGAAACAAGTTTGTGTTCTATCCTGAAATGAAAGTGTGTTTCTTTTACACATCCTTTTCCAAAATGTGCCTCCCTGTTTGTCTGCATGTGCCTTCTGTCGCCCTCTTTTAGTTGTTGGAAGTTGGGTTTCTGCATTTTTGATTTTTCCTTTGTTTTTTGTGAAAACTTTATGGCATGAGCAGAAATGTTGATTCTGTATTAACAAGTTAACTTTTTTATTAAAGATGATGAAGTGAACAATCAAATGCTCTGCCCTCCATCACTGGTAGGTGCAGCCAAATTGTGAACTCAACTCAACATAAGTGGTCATTAAAACCATAAAGTCCATATGACAGAGTGCATAAAATTCACACGCAGAACAAAAAAAATACAGTGTACAAATATTGTATTGACATCACTTTGGTACATCCAACCAAGGATGTCTAATTAAATTCCTGCCATTTTGACTCCTCTCATTGTGTCTCTTTTTTCTGTCTGGACTTTTAAGTTTTGTCACTCCATTAGTTTATTTGTTTAAAAGTTTTTTTCCTCAACCACTAGCTAGCAATGAGGCAGTCACATTGCTTGGTATATATACCCTGGAGTTATTTAAATTCATGACTTCATTTGAAAAGGTCTTCTGGTGAGCTGTCATTAAACAGATAATTAGAGAGGCCTTTATTAAATGTCACCTGTTTAGCGTGCAGAACTCTTCATTGTGCGTGTGATCATGAGAAATATCCCAAAACTGTACACATTGATTGTAGTGGTGGCCCAGTGCAGCTGAATGAAAGTGGTTCAATCACTAGCTTATTCAGAAAATCCTGGCAGGCAAAGAACAAGCTTGTAGGTTACACCTGTTTGAACACAATGGCCTGTAGCCTGCATAGCAATGACTCATCTAAACAGTTCCCACTATGCCTGGGAAACATTTGGAACACGTGGCAACTCCGGAGGCCAAATCCAGGAATTCAAATTTGCTGATGAATAGAGCAGTGACAGTAAGGGATTACAGGAAAGATACTTTATCACGGATAGTCTAATCTCATTTCATTTTGGATAAGAGAGACCCTGTCAGCATTTGTAATACTGTAACACACACAGGTTCTTCAAATTAGCATCCTTTTGCTTCGATACCTTTGTAAGTGGGTAAGTCAGCTGTGCACTATGTTTATTCTCTGAACAGCTTCATGTTTCAGCTCCTGAAGCTTTTTACATAATCTTGTATTAACTACTTATTGACAGATTTTCAGTATTGGATTGTTTTTCAGCATTTTGGTCATAAAGTTCTGATTTCTGTCTCTCCCAACATTTGATGTTATTGTTGCTGCTTCTTTAACTCTGGTAAGCATTAAATGTGGTTCTTGTTCTGAAGCTGGTAAGACTAACTTGTCCTCTGCAGCAGAAAACCTCTTATAGGAGCTGGTGCAGTTATACAAACCACCAAATTACTTTTGGATTGGCTAACCTTAATGTCGTTTCCGTCTTAACGTGCATTATTCTTTTGTTTTTTGTGTTTTGTTTTTTAAATAGCAGAAAAAATTTTATTACATTAAAGAACTTTATATACTAACAAATCCTAACATAAGTAGTCTCAGCAGAGTTTCTCAATATTACAGAGGCAACCCAACAAACACCTTTGAGGAAGAACTTTGCAAAAGTGGGGGAAGAATTTCAACAGGACGGGGAAAAAAAAGTAAAAGAAAAGAAAAAGAAATGAAGTGAGGTTATGTACTTGGAATCTTAGGGTGAGAGAGGAGCCAGGAGACAACAGACAATAAAAAGTGAACAGGTTGGTGGGGTCAGTAACTACAGGTCAGAAAACATCAGCCCACAGAGCCAAAGGTGCATGCAGAAATGTGCAGGGCGAGGGCAAAGTAGAACAAGTACAGTCTAGTGGAGAGAAAACAAGTTCTCACTGATAGTCACATACAAAATATAAATATAAAGTAAAGAAGAGGATGCCAGTTTGCTGGATAACAGCACCACCTCTGCAAAGCAAAATTAGTCTTAAACATTTTTACTAGGCAAGAAATTCAATGAATTAACGTTTAACTACTCTCACGTTTTAACTAAAAACGATTCCCTGTGACTCCTGGGAGCCATTTAAGGTGCTGTTTTTGTGTGAAAACTTTACTTACTATCCCATATGTGTTACTTCACTGTTTGGATTCCTTTTTCTTCTAAACTATAGAAAACTGTAATGATGTATTTTTTTTTCCATCCCTCTCATTCCAACCAGTTGGCTGAACTCAAACTTTTGTCCTCTTGAAGTTGTAACTCAGTCCAAAATTAGATGACACAAGGAGCACATAGGTGCAGGTACACTCGTTAACACCCTTCTACTGGTGGTGGGATTTCCAATGCTCATCAAGGATAACTACTCCGTAAACCGAGGGGTTTTTTTGGTTTGTTTTTAGCGCTTTAAGTGTCTCTTTTTACATCGGCTTCACAAGCAACTTCTGTATGAGTTGTAGGTTTTATTTTGCAGTTTTAGGTATAATAATTCTAACATTCAGAAAAGTTTATCCTCACTAGCTTTTCGTCAATCCTCACAAGATTGGTTGTGCAGTGCAGGATAAAAATTTACTCATGTACCCTATGCTATTTGTTTATTTATTCATCATGATTCAATACTGCAGTCGATAGAAGCTGAGGAGCTGAAGCTAGCTACGGATTCAAAAGTCCATTCAAATGGCCAAGAGACCTCTTTTAACTTCAAACGAAGCTCATTTTCATTTAGACCTCCTCTGATAATATGAAAGGAAACTACAATGTTGTATTAGAAACACACAAATGCATCATATAAACTGGACCACACATTTAAACAACTTCTTAATAAGGCACATACCTTCTCCTGGAAAAGTTTGAATATAATAAATCGGAAAAGTATGTGAAGTCAACAAGTTCTTATAACTTCGCCAGTAGTGTTGGCACAAACCTGAATTTGAACTGCACAAGCCTCTTCATGCACAAGATAACATTACGGATAAATCATTCACAGATGGATACAAGTACCTAACTTGGTATATACACTTTATATAAAATTGAAAATCAAAATGATTATCCTTTCCATGATTTATGTAAAAAAAAAAACAAGAAAATCATTTTTCCCCAGATAAAATAAATTAGACTTGTCTCCTTTAGTGATCTTAGTATCAAATCATACATGTTAAACCATGGAGAAGTTGACTTTCGTTGGCTTGTTTCTTTGTTCGATTTATTTGAAAGCTTGGGAGTAGGGTGTTTTGGTTCCATCAGGGTGCTGGGTCTTTTCACTCAGCATCCTGAGCTAATTGTGTATTATCTTGGTATCATGATGATTTAGATCCTGTTTAAACACAGTTTAGTCATGTATTATATTCTGATATATTTGAGTTTTGTGGTTTGCCTTCATTATGATTTATTCCCTGAGGTTGTGTGTTTGTCTCACTCCCGTGTCGCCCATGTGAGTCTGTCATGTCTTCAGTGTTAAGTTCACCTCCCCTCTGTGTGTCTTAGGTCTGCATCTTTATGTTTCCTGTTTTATTGTGACAGTCTCGTGTTCCATGTTCAATGTGTTTAATTTTGCTTCCCCTCTGGCGTCATCTTCATTCGTATCAGCTATGTTCCCCATGTCTTTCCACTCCCCTCGTCTCCTCTCTGTGTATTTAGCGTGTCAGTTTTCTGTTATTCGTTGTCACGCGATGTCTCCAGGTTTCCTCATATCCACCCCAGGTTTTCATGTTTAAAGTTGTCACATATATTTTCTAGTTTTCCCAGTTTGGGTTTAGTTTAGTGTCGAATTGTTTTGCCTCACCCTTTGTTTTGTAGTCTTTATCAGCCACAATAAACGTCTCGCCCTTAATCTCGTTAAGATTCCTGTTTTGTCCGCGTTTCGTTTGTCTGGATTTGGGTCCACTACTCTCCACTTCAAGTTCAATTCAATTCAATGTTATTTATACAGCCACAAATCACAACAACAGCCACTTTATATTGTAAGGTTGACCCTACAATACTACATCCAAATATATTCAAGTAATACTAGGAGTCCCGGATGGGCCCCTTACACCTCTCACTGGAGATGAGGAGAAGGTGGTTTGCACGAAAGAGTCCGAAAGGGAGAGTGATGGAGAGCATAGATTTAAACC